TTGATGCTCTTGGCAGCGGCAGAAAGTTGAAAAATCAAAGGGCCAGGCTCAGATTTGATAAGGAGGACAGCGAGCGTGGGGCTTGCTCGGTTCAATTGGTACATGGCAGAGATGGGAAATGATGGGCCAAGCCCAACGTCCCAGGAGGCACTGAACAGGCCCTGTGCTCGCTCACCAGCGCCGCAGGCCACAAAACACGGCCGGTGCCAGCAGCAAAGCATTGGTGGCCACAGCTGGGCTGGGAAAGCCCTGTGCCATCGCCCAGGCTGCCGGTCCTGGGGACGAGCAGCGTGCTGGGACCAGGAGAGGGGCTGGCTGTGGGTCTGCGGGGATCCTGGACCCCACAGCATCACCCACCAGACCATGGCACGACCACAACCACTACACGCACCCGAGCGGCCCCGAGAGCCTTTTGGGCAGGGGCCCCTGCGCGGCTCAGCCCAGCTCGGTGAGCGCTGACACCTCCGCATCGCTCGCTCCTGGATGTCTCAAACCCAAGTGATTTTCACAGGACCCTGCTCGCTCGGATCCCTTCTTAAATCACTGAGGGCTTTTCCATAAGAGGAAATGTTTCTTTTCTGGGTCACCGCTGAGTTTGTTAAAAAGTGATTTGATTGCTCGGGAAGGGAAAATGACCCGAGGGGAAGAGAGCGCAACGCTTGGAAGCGGTGGAGATGAGCCCCAGCTCTGTCCCAGGCAGGGCACACGTGTTTTCTCTTCTCTGTGGTTTACTTTACCCCACTCCCTGCTGCTCACAGCCCCTCGGCCACACACAGACCCCTCTCTGAGCCCTGCCAAGAGAGGAAAGTGCAAGGTCGGTGCCTTGCGGGATGCAGAGCAGCACCCACGCGTGCTGCAAACTCACCGGGGGCAAAGCAAACCCCATATCCTCATGGAAGCAGCTTTCACCCGGATTTTCAGCTGTGCCTGCTTTAGAGAGCAACTTAGCAACAACGCGACCTATTTCCCATCAAACCTGGATCACAACAACAGATAAAACACCTCATCCCCAAATCCAACTGCTTCCATCACTCCCTGTCCCACTGGGACGATGCTGCTGGGACCGGGAATGCCCAGCCTGGATCCTAAACCCATGTCCTGGGCAGTACTCACGTGGGTGCAGGCGCGGTGGAGCGCTCGCCGGGGGGACGCATCGACCTGCTGCTGGAGAAACACGGGTCCCAACTTGGCACCAACCAGAATTGGGGGGGTCAGGTCACTTTTCAGTGACTATTTGATTATTGCTAGCTGCAGACGTGCTCAATCTGCTCGGAGGAGCCCGGCTGCGGTGGCCAACGGGTCCATCGACAAGTGGTCCATCAGCAGCCCGTGCCAATGCTATCCCGGAGGGAAGCGGCTGTGCATCCTTGTCCGCCAGTGCCTGTCCCTGCACCGGGACCTGGGTACCAAGCACCCATCCTCCACCCATAACGCATCCTTCGGTTCTTTTCCCAAATATGGCCACGTCATTCTCGTTTCATCACCCCCAAAACTGCAGCTGGGATTTCAGGAATGCGAGTTTCCATTGGGTTTGCCCGACGCTGCTGCCTGGAGGGGTGGCAGGGCTGCGGGAAAGCCGCAGTGTGCTTGTAACGGGGGAACGGGCACGATGTGTCTTCTGGGGGAAACCGAGGGACAGGGTTTGGGAGCGATGGGGGCCCAGTTCGAAAGAGCAGGCACCAATGGAGGGTTACAGGATCAATCCGAACTCCAACATCGCCACGTCTTGCACCTCATCCATCTCCTCTGGACGGGCTTTGCAGACCCTGAGTCCCCAACCTGTGACCCCCAGCACCAATATCGCAGCCCTGCAAGCTGGGAAGCACCCGAGCTACACCAAACCATAGGAAAAGGTGGAGACACAGGTGTTTTCCCCAAAAACACCTCTTTTCCTGATGGAAACCAATTCATTTGCATGTTGTGTACTGCCAGCAGGACCTGCTGCCTCCAAACACGCTCCAGCACAATGCCCCATGCTCCTGGGAAGCTGCTTGCCATGAGGATGCTCTTGGACCACTTTTGAGGATTCTGGGGGCTGACTGGTGGTGTCTGGAGATTTTGGCTACAAGGAGATGCAGATTTAAAGAGCGAGAGGCTGCACTGAGCAGCGCACACACAAACACCCCAGGGATAAATGCTCTGGAGATGTTTCTCCCTGTAAGGCCACATTCGAGAAGGACCACAGGGTCTGGGTCCTGCAGCCCCAGCCTGGCCGGGCAGGTGTCCCCAGGCACCAGCAGCGCTGTCACACTGCAGCCCTGGCTACAAAATGAGCCAAAATCAATCCCTTTTGTGTCCCAGGGCCAGAACAGCGAGCGGGGCCACCACGCAGCAACATCCCATCAGCAGAGGATGAACCTGCACCCCAACACCGACATCCCAGGCATCATTTCCAGCCACGCAAACGGCTCCTCCACAGGTAATTTCAGGACTCTTCGAGTCTCAAGTCAGCTCAGGCTTAAACGCCCACAGCATCTTTTACTGGTATTTGTGGCAGCAAAGTTTACCGGCCACATCCAGGGCTGTTTGTGTCTGACGTGCTGCGTTATTAAACCAGGATTTTGGGACAAGCACCTCGCCGTGTCTGAAAGAGAAGTTGTCAAAGCCTCGGTCACTAATGAGGAGCCGCTCCCGGGGCTGATGAAAATCGAATGCTTCCCAGAAATAAATATAATTCATCTCGTTAGGCACCGAGGTTAACGGAGCTGGGGCACACATTTGCGGTGTAAGAGGCAGTTTGCTGAGCTCTGGACCTGATCCCTGTAGAGGGATGCCAGGACAAGGCTGGACCGTGGTGGGGGCTCTGCTTCTGCACTGGAGATGGGGCACACGGGGACCCGGAGCCAGGGGCAGGCAGCGGTGGGGATGGCACTTACCCGAAAAAGCCAAATGGGTTGTTTATAAGAATGGGAATGGTTTGTGTTCAGGGAGGGCGGGACAGCCGGCGGGATGGATAATTCGATTTGGGTTTTGGCAGGGGCAGGGAAGAGGGTGGGCCTGGGAACGGCCGTCAGCCCTGGCAGGGGACGGTGCCGGCTGCCCGGGCAGGTCAGGCCATGGGCCCCCGCCCCGAGGCCCGGCTCCAGCACCGCTCCCCGAGGAGGAAGGGGGGGTCTGGGCAGCTCCAGCCTCTCCCATGCCACGGATCGAGTCCTCGAAAGCGTCAGCACTAACGCACGGGGCTGTTTTGGCGGGGAGGACGCGAGCGGCGTCTGACAGCAGCGCCGAGGGGGCCCAGCATGACGGCACATCCCGCGTCCCCCCGTCACGGTGTGTGACTTCACCCAGCCCTGAGTCATCCTCAGCGGCTCCTCCATCCAGCCACCCATCACCGCTGCCACCATGGCTTCACCTCCCCATCCCGGCGCCGAGCGGGACCCCCACGGCTTCTCCCCCAGGGAATTCACCACAGGAAGCATAACCGGCAACGCCACTCCAAAATCAAAGCAGATTCATTCCGGATTAAAACCCCTGCGCTCCTCATGGAATAATTACACTGAAGCTTTTCCCCCAGCATGGTTGCAGCCCGACCACAGCCTGGCTGAACAGCTTGCCCCAAGAGCCGAGCACATGGCATTAACTGCCCAGCCCTGGTTTTGGTGCCCCCCGCTCCAGAATTGGGGGTGTTCACAGAGAGATGCTCTTCGAAGAGCAACCACGACAGCCCCCCAGGCGACGCATCCGCGCGAGGGCCTTTTCAATCCAAGCTCATGCAAATTTATGCTTATTGCTGTACACTGAACATTGGCTCAGATGGTTTCACCCTAACTCCAACTATGGTTTTTTTTCTTGCTTTTTCAATGAGAAATTACACACTTGGAAGTTATTCCTCTTCCCATTGATTTCCCTCCCCCTTTTCAGGGTTAAATGGCATTTTCTATACCTGAACACAGAGGATTATTTTAGAAAGGATCTTCATCTCGGGAGCCTGAATATTATGCATAATGATCCATCAAACGCGTGCGCCTTTCATTCACCCGGGAGAGTGCGCAGACTGGAAGCAAAATCATGTGAAGTCCCCGCTCTTGGCAGGAGATTTTGAGCAGTAAGTGGCAGCTTTATGAGGAATATCCTTTGCCAGGGGACCAGCAGCCAGGGAGCAGTGGGATTCTGATTTTTTTAATGGACTTTTAATAAGTAGGCCACAATGACAATCCTGACACCGGAGCAGCTTTATTTCGACGTGTAATTATCTCCGCTTCGCTCTCAAGCTCCCCGCAGCCTCCAAGAGCAAATAAGCCCACCAACCTCTGCGGGAGAAAAGGAGCGAGGAAACAGCGCAGGGCCACTTGAAATGCTCTTTGTATCACACCTCATGCCATGTAAAAGTCAACCTTCTCCTCCCCTCCTCTAAACCAATTACATCTCGCTTCCGGCATTTAATTGCTTGAACCCTTACCAGCAGGAAAACCCGTGCTCAGAGCATGGGAAATACAAAATACAACCAGTGCTTGGTGGGTGCAGGTCCGTGGCCACGGGAAAAGGCAGGTAGATGCAGGGCAGGGCGTTAGATCGCCTGTCTCCCTCCACACTTGTTGCTTACTCAGTGTTGAAACCAGCACGAGCTGTGTTAAATGTCTGCACTGCTAACAAGAAACAAATGTGGCCCCATGTTCTAGTTGCTGTGATCTAACAAAACAGACCATGGTAAACACCATAAAAATGTACTGGAGGGAACCACCCTGCGTTTGCTGGGAGAGGGACGGGATAATCTAACAGGGCTTTATCCATCTCTAACGTCTCTGAAAAAAAGAAGGGAAAATTGGGCCCCGTCCATGACATTCGTCATGTGCGAGCTATTCTGATGTCTTAATGCTGCAGAAATCAAATTGCAGCAAGGCTACCTATCTGCCTCCCCGCCGGGATCTAGACCCAAGCGCTGCTTTTTATGGCCATGCAGCGTGAGGAGCTGCTGATGTCAGCGGTGGCGCGGCCAGGGCAGCGTTTCCATCCCTGTCCCCACATTATCTGGGGAGAGGCTCCCCACGCGGTCACCTCACGAATGGTTCACTCCATGGACCTGCGGATCCACCAGCGGGACCTTCCTCTGGCTGAAAGCATTCGCGGGGACAAGGTACCTGCCCAAAAGGTTAGCGCTGGTCTGGGTACCTGGATACTGCGCTATCAGCAGCAACACTGGCACGGTCACGTCTAGATTTGTATCTTGGCCATGGTAACGGCACGGGTTGATGCAGTCGCCCACCTCCAGGTACCTCGTGGTGCCTTGGGTACCTGCCTGGCCCTTCACCAAAGGGTTAAGGGTTTCCTCCAGCTCTCAGCCACTCTCTGGCACTTTAGGTTTACACACCTCTGCTCAGGCGGTCACCAGAAGTTGCTCCAACCCAGATCATCCTCCTCCCATGCCTTTGTCCATAGGATGAGCCTTTGCAGGCTCTGCAAGACAGGAGCCCCTCCAACCAAATCCCAGGAGCCCCATCCCCAGAGGACAGACAGAAACCAGCCCTGCTCGGTTCCTGCACAGAACTGCAGGCTGCACCCACAACCCCGGGCCAGGTCTTCTGCATTGACTCCATCCCCTTCTTCAAGCACCTTAGCGTTGTTGTTTGCTTTTTTAAAGCTACTGTGACCTTGGCACTGAACAGACAAACATCAACCGCCCCAAAACAGCTTGTTCTGAAAAGATACACAGAGCAAAGCCACAGCCCCACAGCAGCCTAAGCGAGATCTCCATCTGAGGAGGGGAGAAAAGACGCATTTGGGGTGCTCAAAGCGCCGCTGAGAAGCTGCAAGTGCCAACTGCTGCATCTCCCCGCTCAGCCCAAGGTTTCCACGCGCTCCTCCTGCTCTCACCTGGCCCTTCCCGCGCCGCCGGTAATTCCTTCTCACGAGGTTCTTGTAGTTCTCGTTCTTCTTGGTCAGGTAGTAATACAGGACGCAGTCTGCCACCGTCTGCAAGGACACGGGCGAGTCAGGGGACGGAAGGCACTGACCTCCAGGAGCAGCGCCAGGCCCTGCCATGGCCAGGTCTCCTCCTGCTTCAAGAGATCTGCAGCCCAAAGAGGCTTTCCCGCTCCTCCCTCCCCAAGCCCTTCGTGGAGCTGCAAGAGGGGGACGATGCCCGTAAAAGGGCTCGGCTCTTCCAAAGGACAGACTGGGGCCATCCCGCAGACGTGGAGATGGAGATGGGGTGCAGAGCAGGGGCACCTGGACACTGGCTTTGGGCTGCAGCTTCACACACAGGATCAGAGGGTGCATGGACCCATAATCCCCCAGACCCATCACGAGCCGGGGGCCGTTGGGTGCTCCTGGGGGTGCCTGGGTGCTGTACTCTCCCCATCCCCGTGCAAGGAGTGGGACCATTTGCAAAAACAGATTGCAACTTTTCAAGTGTTAATTGGATCCCTTTCTAATCCAGCCCTGATTACACACACGAACACAAAAACTTACAGTCATCTGTTCCAAGGGCTAAGATCACTACTTTTTTATAATGCAATTTAAAAATCTATTAATTCATTACATTGAGCCATACTTTGCATCTCTCTCCAACAGGATAATAGATGTGTTCTGTATCATAATTACAGCCTGATTTACAAACGAGTACAAATAAAATTAGAAGACATTTTACAGCTTGGAACACAGACCGGATTGTGAGCATCATCCAAGTCCCACCGACTGCGGCTTTAACAAGTGGGAAAGGCTGAAAAGAGCCTGGTATCTTACAGCGACAACAGCAGCACGAGGTGGCTGCTGGCCTTTGCCTGCTCGCTGCTCTGGACAGGAAAGTCAAGGTCTTAGAAACTATTTATAATGTAATTCAGGTTGGAAAAGAGGTCTGCAGGGCGCTCCCCTGAAAGCAGAGGGGTTCTCCCAGTGTGAGTGGACTCTGCATGAGATGGGCAGAGGATGCACCTAACTACAAGGACCAGAGAAGCAGCAGCTCTCCAGTGTCTCTTGCTCAGGAGAGCACCTCCATCCGTGTCCTCGCAGGCTGGGTCTGTCCATCTGTCCCACTGGAGGTACCTGCCTTGCTCAGAACCGGACCAGAGACTCGCTCTTCCTTCTGGTCTCTTTTTCAAACCTTTCTACCATCAACCCAATAAACAGCAAAAAGGAAGAGGCCAAGAAACACAACACAGCAGCTTGGGAAAAGTCAGGCCCTCCTGTGAGCAAACTGTTCTTAAACCCCGAGGGGATGTGCGTGCATACACGGCACCAACCCCAACTGCTGGATGAGCTGGGACTCAGTCCGCACCCCTGAGCAAATCGGGGCCCCCTCCTCTTCATGTGGGGCAGCCGGGTGCCCGCACCCCCTGCGTGACAGCCTGGCTGGTGCAAAGCGCCTGTGGGCGATGCTGGGAAGCCGCTCCACCAGGGCGGATCACGGGGTGGGCTACATCGCCTACGCGCCAGGCTGGATGTGTTCACACATCCCATGGTGTGAGCTCCCCATCTCCCCACAGCTGACTCAGTCCCTTGGCTCTGCGGGGACGTGGGGAGCCTGGACCGTGTCCGGGGCTCTGAGCCACCACCACCCACAGGTGCCCAGCATCTGCTGGCTGCTGCGGCACCCACGGGAACCGTGTGATGGAAAAGAGAAAGCACCAGGCAGGGCAAAAACTTACCTTCCTGTCCAGAAAGGATGCGATCAGGCCGAAGTTCTTTGGATGCTGCATGAACCTGGGGGAGCGAGAGGGAGAGGGTCAGTGTGGGTGCTGGCTCTGACCCCCCTCACAGCTGGGCTGCAGTGCCCCAGGCAGCAAGGCCGGGACTTCCCAAGGGACTTAAGGGTTTGAGAAAGTATTTGTCTGCTGCTCAGCTTCCCAGAAAGACAGGAACTTTAAATTTAGCCAGGCTGGTTGGGAGCTTCGATGCGCAGACGTTTGTCATGGGGTGGGAGAGGGCAGGGGGGCCGGCAGTGTCCCACAGCTCCTCGTCACCCTGCTCGATCCCACGGCCACCCAAGGCCATACCAGCAGCAGGATGGGCACAGCGGGCAGCTGCACATCCGGCTGCAGCCTCGGGATTTGGGAAGGAAAGGGCAAGGAATCGCCATCAACGGCTGACCACAAGCACCCCGCAGCACAGCCAGGGCTGTCCCTGCTGCCGAGCAGGACCAGGGGCCAGGCTGGGCTGCAGGGGTGGCTGCAGAGGACGGGAAGGGAAACCCAAGCCCCAGGAGGAAGCACGGAGCTGCCACGTTGCAGCGTTGCTCAAGAGATCCCCGGTGGCAACGCCTCCTGCCCAGCGAGCGGAGGAGCTGTCAGCAGCATCGGGAGAGAGCATCGCCCGCCAGCGAGCAGCGCAGAGATGTCTTCTCCAACAAATCTCTTCGCCTTGCTGGTAGGGAAGTGCTGGAGGCCAACAAGCCCTTGGCATGCAGGGCCCTGCTGGCAGGAGGACAGTTAACTGCTGCATCGCCAAGGCACAGGGAGCCTGGATCTTGTGCTGGGGCTGGAGGACAGCGCTGGGCCCAATGGAGAGGTCACCATCGCCATAGGCTCTGCCCTGCTCCACGTGTGTGGCTCTGCCGGCTCCCAGGAGCTCACAGCTCCATGCCCTGGGCAAACAACTCAGAGGCAAGAGCTGAGTGAGCTGTGCAATGCAGGCAAAAATCCAGTGACTTCCATGGGCCAGGCTGTGTCCCCGTGGTGAGGGACAGATGCTGTGCTCTCACAGCGCCCAGCACAACACAGTCTCAATGCCTGAGCGGGATTCAAGGGGTATCACAGCCATCCCTGCTCCTCCATAAGTAAACCGTGGCCAGGGGGACAGGGAGGACGACAGCGATGGGCTCTCCATAAAGAGACCTGAAATCCTGCCCAGCAGCAAATCAAATCAGACTCTTGTGGTGATGTTTTGACGGCTAAAATCAGTTCAGACTCGGAGCCTGTCGGCCTTGCAGTGCCTGGCTGTCTTCTCCAAGAGCCCCCACCATCAGGGGTTGCACCGGGTTTTCCCAGCCTCAGGAAGAGGATGGCTCTGGGTCACGATCACAGACGACACAACTTTGGTTCACCTTAAACACCCAGGCCAGAGGCTGCAGCCCACCAGGCAGCTCAGGTTCCCGTGTACTGGGATGGGGACAAGAGCCAGGGCAGGACTCCCTGGGTCCTCCTGACAGCTCCTAAGCACCAATCTCTTAAAACGAGCCGAAATCCTGCTGTATTTATGCCTCGAGCCCTGCACCCCCCACGGTGATGACACAGAAACCACCGTGCACAGCAGGATGCACGAGCAGGGTGTGGATCCTTCCAGCCCTATTAGCCAGGCCCAGCCCCGCCATTAAAGACCAAGCAATTAGCCTTTGCGTCATTTGCGGGCAGGCCTCGTTTGGAGTGTCACATTTTAAGGCTAATTAGCAACGAGGGTTCTCCTTTGCAAAATGCCTGGAGCTGCTTTGCTTGTTTTGTTCTTTTTCGCTCCGTCTTGGCAATTAAGTTATTTCAGCTGCAAGCAGGAGCTGCCATGAGGAGGGACTGGATGAGGGATCCTGGACACGGAGAGGCTTCCAGCGTGGATGATCGTGGGCCTGCTGGTCATCCATGGAGCTGTCTCGGCATTGCCTGCAGGCTGGACTAAGGTGGTGCTGGGATGAGGTGGTCCCAGTGGCCCCTGCACCTCCGTGTCCCTCGTGTCCAGAGCAGCGAGCCCCAGCAGAGTCCATCCTGGGCTGATTTCACATTGAGGGCACCAAGGATGCTCTGGTCCTCTGTGCAAATGGAGAACGCTGGGCTATGAGATATGGACAACTCTGGATGTGAGACTGAGCTGGGAGCCAGAGAAGGGATCAGCAGTCCCCCAGGTAACCTCTGTTCATACAGGGAAGCTGCACTGCTTGCAAACAGGAGGAAGCTCCATGCCCAGAGTTTGCTCTGGAGTTTACACCCATGGGAACAGCAGCTGGGGGCAAATCCAGCGCAGGATGGAGCACTGAGGGAAGCTGAAAGGGGTCTGCATAAGGGGGTTGGACGCAGACAGCCCTGAGCATCCCTCTGGACACACAGAGCCCAAAAACCAGGCATGAAAACCCAAAAACGTAACAGTTTTGTGTATGGAGCACTCACTTTTCCCGGAAGGTCTCCTTCTCCTGCTCGCTCCACATGTTCATCACTTGCCGGTCCTTGTAGACCTTCATGGGGTCGTCCATGAGGCCGTTCATGTTGATGAATTTAATGCGCTGCTGGTCGGCGTCGTAGAGCATGGGCGGGATGACGGCGAGCTGGCGCATCTGCTTCTCCAGGTTCTGTGGGGAAAGCAGAGAGCAGGGCTGGTCAGCACCATGGGGACCGCAGGGGACAGATGTTGGAGAGGAAAGGACAGGCGGGGAAACGGGAGAATTCACAAGCAAGCACCAGACAGCTTTATTGCTGGGGTAACTGTAAATTAAACGCTGAAAGAGGCTATCGCTGTCAGCCAGGAAACAATTAATCTTTCGTTCTGAAATAAAAGGCTTTAAGACGCTGTGTGGAAATGTCTGACTTAGGCAAAACGGCTCCCGGCCGTGACGAGACAAGGCAGAGCAGCGGTGGCCATCAAACCCAGGGCTGCGGGGAGCCTCAGCCCCTCACCCCGAATTGCGAGGGAAGCAGCTCAGGACTGCCAAGCTTTCAGAAAGGATGGGCAGAGGCAGACGCTGTGTTTCCCTTCCACAGGAAACCTAATGTTGTTCCAGGAGGCTTCAAATGTCACCGTAACGGGGCCGTCATTCCTTCCTTCCCTCCCAGTGCAACACCCTGGGACATAACCTGATGCCTTTCCTCCATCCTATTCCAGTGCAGAGCTCGCCCAGAGCCCTGGCTGCACACCAGGACAGGACAGACTGGGCACGCTGGTTTCCATAAGGATTTGCAACAGAGTGGCCAAAGTGATGTCTCATTCGTGCCATCCCCTGCCCGAGCACCAGGACTGTCCCTTCAGCCAAGCTGCTGGTGGTTCCCGGGCACAGGTCCACCCTGCAGGGATGGAGGGATGCTCTGAACTCCCTCTTTGCTGGCAGCACCATCACTCTGAGTCCTCCCTGACACCTGGGGTGGCACAGGCCAGACCTAAGATCCAGCCCTTCAAGTGCTGTGATTTTAAATCACAACTAGACTCTGGTTCCTGGGAGAACAGCAATGCCCAATCCCTTCCAGCGAGCTGCCACCCCCGGCCTGCCCACCATCGCTCTGCTTCCCCGCTGCGACTGAGCAGACCCAACCTCCTCTTCCTAAAACACAGCTCTCTGCGTGCACACGGACGTTTCAGCTCATTTCATCATGTTCCTCATCCTCACTAGGACACCTCCTGTTTAGCAACCGGCTGCTTCGGGTGTCCTGGGGGTGTCAGCTCATAGTGGGAGGTCACAGACAGCTCGCAGCCTGAGCATCCATCCTGACAAGACCCTGACAACTGCAGACAGCCCCAGGCGAAGGGAGAAAGCCCCTGCTGAGAGCACAGGACCTCTCCCTTCGCCTGGCAGGGTCTTGGGGTGCCGAGCACTGTGGATACACCCAGCCCTGTCTTCTCTCCAGCAACGTGCTGGCCACTACTGCCAGTGATGCTCCCTGGCTCTCACCTCCCTGCTCTTTCCCACCTGAGGAAGGGCTGGAAGCTCTTGAGGTCTCCTCTGAGATGGGCAAAGCCTTGGGGCTCAGCAGAAGGCTGTTGGGGTGCAGATAATCGTCTAACAGTCCCCATGGCCATGACCTCTACAGAGCTGGGAAATTTCCCTCTGCTTCAGAGACCCACATCCTCCGGGTCATCACTTTAACAGCAAACTGCCAGGACCCAGGGAGCAAACCGCAGCTCACAGGCAGCAAACACTGCTCCTCAGCTATTGCTGGGCCATGGCTGCTCTCCCCTCCCAAACGCCATCCATTCCCTGCAGCTCCGTGCCAAGAGAGAGGAGCCCTTGTGAAACCAGACCCAAAGGAAGCCAAGGTCGCGGGGATGTTTCAGGATGAATGGAGCACTCCCAGAAGATGCGGGCCAACTGGCTCACGGACAAACCATTCATCCCATAGGATTCCCCCGTGTCGAGCTGCGCAGCCCATTCAAAACAAAACGAAACACAAAAACCTGGCAGCCAGGGCACCAGCACCCTTCCTTCCCTTCCCACCGCCGCTTCCAGTCCAAACCAGCAGCCAGGAGGGGTCTGTGTGGTGCTACCCAGGACACACTGGGGTTTCAGGTCCCTAAGAGGCACTCGGATGCCACTAAGCCCTGCCCCGCTGGCCATCAGCTCCTGGGTGCTGTGACCCATGCTTTGCTCCTGCAGAACCATCACACAGCTCCGTTACACTCCTTGGGTTGCTGGAAAGATGCTGCTGGGTATTAAACAGACACCTCACTTCGGATCCTGTCCAGAAAGTGTATGAGGCATCGTGGCCACCTCCCCAACCTCAATGTGGCCTCGAGTTGCTGAGATTTGGTATCAGATTTTACCACAGGACCTGGCAGTGCTCTCCTGGCTTGCTCGGAGAAGAGCGGAGCGAGGGGGGAAGAGGAAGGAGGAAGGACAACCCGGTCTCACCTCTTGCTCCGAGAGCCCGTCGATGATTTCGGACACCTCATGCTCGCTGCGTGCGGCCGACATGGCGAGCCCACCGCTGCCCCTCTGTCCTACCCTGCTGGGAAAGGGCAGCGACACACTCAGATGCTGATCCTCCACCTTGTAAACCACACTCGCCACATCCCCCCTGGCCCTGTCACCTTCCTTTTTGACCTCCATCATGGCCATATCCCAACACCCCACGCCGTGGGAACGGCGCCCACTGCAGCCCCATGGGCTCTGACAGCCCAAAAACCACCGGCCCCCATGGCCCCTGGGTTTAGGGCTCACAGGTCGAGAGCCTCAAACCACCCTCCTTACCTGTGCCAACCTCCTGGATCGCTACAAGAGAAGGACATTTCATACCCAACCATAGTCCCCCCCCATATTTTCATTGCACCACAGCAATAGCATCGAGGCATCGGTGTCAGCACTGTGCCACCACATCTGGTTTGCAAAGGCTGCAGGAACTTCTAAATCAAAAGCAGCCATTGACTTCTATTCCCCCCCCAATATCACCCAATGTAGCAGCCACACATCCCAAGGAATTAAAACTTTGCGTATTAAGCAGGTAAAAATTAAAACATTCATCAGCACCGTTTCTCCCCTTCTCTTTAAGCTAAAATAAAGCCACTGATCAGGAAGGTTGGACACATCCAGCTGTTTGTGCAGCACAAGGGATGCTGGCACGAGGGTCTGGGTTCAGCACACAGCAGGTGTCCCTGGGCAAGATCCCAGCGCTGAAATGGGAAGGACGGGGAGTTTTCCACAAGAAGGGTGGAGATCATGAAATTGTGTCTCCTCCCTGCAGGAAACACCATGACCTCATTTACCCTTCAACGAGCAGATGGACAGGGGAGGGGACAGACAGGGGACATCCCTTCCAGTGAGACACTCGAGTCACTTCACTCCATTTGTGGTCATTCCTAGAACCTCTGCCGACTTCTCTTTTCCCTGCCATGCTCCAATTAAAGCATCTGACCAGAAAGGGAGAAACGGGACCGATCTCCATCCCAGATGGCTCCTCCCAACACCAAATCCCACACCCGTCCCCCCCAAAAAAAAGAGAAAGGCTGTCTGGTACCAGCTCAGCCCCTTCCTACCGCTTCTCCTCTAACCTCTGCATGCGCTCTTGCAGTTCCCGCTGCTTCCGGATCTCTGGGAATTGCTTCTCATAGTATTCCCGCACTTTGCTCTCTTTGGCACGGCGCCGGGGGTTATTTTCGATGCGCTCCACCTTTTTTTCCCAGGCCTCCATCAGCTGGTCATAGCGCTGGCAAAACTTCTGCTCCTGGAAGAGGCAGAGGGAGAGGGGGAGCTCAGGAGGTGCCCAGGAAGGACCTGGTCCTCCACGGAGTCACATCCCTTAAAGAAATTTGGTTTATTAGGACATGGACACGCTCCAGGGTCTGGGATCAACCCGAGGGCAAATTCTCCAAAGAGGCCATCAGGTGCCCTCAGGGTTTTCCCTTCCAGACCTTTACCTTTGGTGAAACACAGACATGGGCCTTGCTCACCCATCGCCCCTCTTGCCTGAGCATCCTCAGCGCCATGGGTGCCTGATGCGGGGGGGATGCACGACCAAGTCGCCTGCCTGAGGCCACCACGCAAGAAGGGACCGAAACACGGCCCTGGGAGGGCACACAGGAGGGCAGCAGAGCCGGTTTCCAGCTGCTGCTCCTCCTTTTTGGCCCAGGATCAGGCCAAGTGCATCCTCACTGAGGGCAAACCCGGGCTCTGCCGAAACGCGGGGCTGCAAGGGGTTTCCAGGCCACGTCCCCTGCGTGACGTCCTCATGGCGCACCCACACGGGTCCAGCACCGCGCTTCTCCTTTGTCTTTATGGGACCAGCAACCACAGCATCAAGATATCATCTGCAACACGAATGAGCCTCCCTCCACCCCCTCAAATCGCTCCTCTCTGCTGTGGGAGGAGGTCACCCGTGGACAAGCGATGCCCACGCCGAGAAGGCCACGGTCCCCGACAGCTGCAGCGGTGACAGGAGCGATGGCGCCCAGCCCTGCGTGCAAGCAGCTGGGGGACAAGAGGGAACGTTTCAAGGTTTCATTTTGAGTCAAGCAAACGCCTTCTAGGCCCCGTATCAGGAAGCGAAAGCAGATGTCGCTCTGCAAAACAATTGATGGCAAACCCCCGGTCGCCCCCTCGCCCCGTCCAGAACGGGTGGAGATGGGGGAATCCAGACTTCAAAGAAATCAACTCATCTCTTGCCGCGTGCCCCAGCACCAGAGGGAAGTCCAAGGATGTAGGATTTCCCAGCTGGGCTCTGCTCTCATTTTGCTCACTCTCAGCCACCAAAATAAGGTAAAAAGAAAACCCCAAACTGATGGAAACGCCTGATTCCAGGTCAGAGGCAGCTGGGCTACCCCACACCAAGCAGCTCAGTCAGGCTGTGGACCCCAAGCACTGGCAGCTCCATGGCCCAGCACTGGTGCCAGGCACCCACAGCACCCACGGCCGGCATCGCAGCAACCCCAGCACGGGGGTTTGGTGCAGCCATCCCAAACCTGGGATTAACCCACGTCCCGTGATCCCCCGGCCTCCTGGAGGCCCCTTGGCAATAACGTGAAGAGGACAAAGCACATGAAACCCCACGGCTGATGCAGACTAACGCTCCCTCCCCCAGATAAACTGATTCCTCCTTGCAGAGCCAGAGGCTTCCTGAAGCCCTGCATTTTGGAAGAGGCTAAAAATACCCCACAGGGGTCATCGAGCCTCAGCACTGGGATGTGTCCGGTGCCCCCAGTGCAGCCGGGAAATGGCCCAGCACCAGGACTCGGTCTGAGGAAAAGCTTCCAGGCTTGGAAAGGCTCTTCGTGCCTTTTCTTCCACTCCTTGGGATGAGAGCTTTATCCAGAATTCCTCTTTTCAGGAAGTGGTATTTGCAGATGGGAACAGCAACACCAACACCGTTACGGCCTGGCTGAGCACTCCTGACTGGCGTCTGCTTCGTAAAGCCCCTTCCCACCACAGAGCAAAGCGATGCCCCCTGCCACGCGAGCTCCAAACCCACCGCAGCGGGGCCGGTGTGCAGCATCCCTGCCTGGCGCAGGGGTGTAGGTGGGATATGCGCTCCTGGAAACCTTTTGCCGCCACCATCCTTCAAAAGCCACGGCCGCAGGCACCTGCTAATGCCGCGCGTCCCCAAATCTTCACAGCTCAGCCACCAGGAGAAGCCGCTCAGTCGGGCAATTTGGGAGCAGAAGCATCTCTCTTCCTTCTCCAAGCAGCCTTAAGCAAGCGCGTCCTTTCCTCAGCAGGAGGCTTTTAGCACCGGTGCTTCCTCTACTCCCCTGGCCGGCCAGGCTCACCAGCCCCTCCGCCTCTCAATCACACCCATCAGTGACGGCGAGCCAAACCGGACTCGACACGCGGATCTAAAACTGGATGAGTAGTAACGCCGCCGTAGCAGCTGAAGGCAGCGTGGAGCCTGTGCCAAGCCCCGGGGAGCTCGCAGGGGAAGAGCGAAGGTGACGGGAGGAACCGCTCCAATTCCTCTGCGAGCCCCACGGTTTGGTTTCCCCGGCGGATGGAGATACAAACCTCTCACAGCCACAACAGCTCCCTCGACCCTTCTCGCTCCGCAGCATCACCTCTCCGACGGCAATTCAACGTCTGCTGCCGTGCCCACCTTGGAGGAAGCAGGAGGACACCCCACGGATGCTCTGGTGGGGGCTCTCGAGGCTGGACCCCGCAGGGACCGAGCTCCGACCCCGCTGACAACAGCCCAGGAAAGCAAAAAGGGCCAGAAAGAAGCGCTGGCACGTAGATGGGCTTTGCTAAAAATAGGGCCTGCTACAAAACGGGCAGAAAAATAGCTAAGCGAACCCATTTTGCAAACAGAATCAGCAAATGTATTCACTCTGCACATTCAGCAACCGTATGTCGCCTATTTTGTAGAATAGGCAAAACGCTTCCCTAAACTGAAAAATCCCCTTTCAAGGACACTGAACGAACCGGCTGGCAGAAATTCACCTCTTTTGCATGACAGGCGACTTCAGCCGTATTTTAGGAACCGCGCTCTCGCAGCCTAATTAAACCTTTTCCCCCAGCTCCTCGGTATTCACGACTCTCTCTCCAGATTTGGCGCAGTAACCGGCCGTTTTCCCCCAAAAAGCAGCTCCTGAGCACCTCCCTTCTGGCTCTGATAAAACCACGCGAAGCTTTGCAAGCCCCGTTTTGGGAATATTGCTTCCCACAACCGCAGGAGTCCTCAGCTGTGGCAGAGGAGTCCCGAGCACCGTGTGCTGAAGGTGTGAGCCCTGCAGCCCCTTGCTAGAAGCCTGGAAGAGGTTTTAGCGCAGAAATAAACGTGTATTTGGACACAAACGGGAGACACAAGCATCTTCTGGAATGCCAGATCCACGGCTTTTGGATGATGGCTACAAAATGGGGGGAAAATATGAAAATAATTCGGTTGCTGGCTCAGAAATGGCTCTGTAAACAGCCTTAGTGGGAACTGCTTTTAAAGGCAGAGCCTTCCAGCCACTTCCCAGGGCTGATTGTTTTGACTTTTTCCAGCAATTCCTCCCAGCTGGAGCACCTCTGTCCAAATCCAGCGCCAGACGCTCGGAAACCTGCACCGTCCGCAGCTGAAGATGCCAACGCCAGCACCTGAGCCCGCGCCGCAACGGCAACACCGAGCTGGGAACCGGGATTTACATCCTCCGTGTAAAACGTGAAGCCGCGATCCCTTCATGGAAAGACACCCCAAAATCCCCCTTCCCAGTGGGGAGCATTGCTTGCTTCTGGCATTTCCCCTTCAGTGCTGGTTTCGCCTCCCTGCTCCTGCTGGCAACGACCACACGCGGCCGCCCGTGCCAAAACCATATGAATTCTGTACATCCCACTTCAACTTTCTCCTCTCTTCACCAGCGACTTGCAGCAAACACCTCTGAAGCCCCATAACAAACTCCACCGTCCCCCTTAGCTACACCCAGGAACCAGCTCCTCGATGGACACCGGAGCCACCAAAGCTGCCCAGGAATGAACCGGCGCAGAGCTCGGTCTTTGCTTTAAACCACAAATTCCCCGAAAATGGCTCTGTGGTCAGCTGGAAACAGTCAGACCAGTCTCCAGCCCATTTATCGGAAGCAGAGTCAGCTTGTTTCACACCTCTCCTCGGGTTCAGTTACTCACAAAACAGACATTTGCGCTGTGAACGGGATCAATGAGGGGCTCTGCTGCGATGAAGCCATCCCCAAATGCTCGCTCTGCAGGGGGCACTTGTGGAGGGAGGTGCTGCCTGCAGCACCATCGGGGACCCCTTCTTAGCATCCAAGTTATTCTAAGCCTAAGAGATGCCCCAGCAATGCAACAGGCGGAGTACGGAGCTCCAGCACCTCTCTGCTGGAGAACGCCCTTTTCTCTCACGTAATAAATTACACTGCTTTACACACAGAAAACGAGGTGTAAGGGAATCACTTACCCACTGCTTGCGAGCATGATTTCTCCTCTTAAAGTACAGAATTAACTTTTTCCGCATTGCCTGGTTTCTGTAAAGGGAAAAAACAGAGACGAGAGGTGATCAACAAGGTGGCTCAAACCCAAAGCTTGGCTCTCCCCGCTCCCAAAGGAGCGGCGCAGCTTCCACCTTAACTCAGAACGGCACCGACTTCAGAGCAGCAAACGCTGTTACCTGAGGACCCCATGGCAGCTTAAAGACCAACAAACGTAAGGAACCTCACCCACATGTGCTGGGTAAAACCAGGGCTAGGGTTGAGAATTGAATTCACTAACTCCCAATTGTGCTCCATTCACCGTGTGCTCAGCACTGGAAACAGCAGCCACTCCGCATTCACCAACGGGCCAGGCCGCTTCTTGATTATTTTCACATTTTGACCTACAAAAACCCACCGGGGTCCCAAAAGTCGAGGGGCTCAGGCCAAGTTTGCGTGGTGGGAGGTGGCTCCCCAGGGCCAGCAGTGACGGGGCTGCCAGCGCTCACTGGGGTTACCCACCCCGGCTCCGAGGTGCTGATAAGGACGCAGATATCTCCTGACCTCCTGCTTGCCTGGAGCCCTGCCCAGCAATGCTGCAGTGGGAACCGGCCAGGAAAGCCTGGCCAATTACAGAATGTGAGTCCTCAAGAGAAAAACCGGCCACTGCAACCACAACCCACCCGGCCTCTGCCCAGGCACTGCCCTGGCTGCTTTTCTTCATTATACAGCACAAAGTAATTGCTCTGAGAGGAGCAGCGCCAAAGCAGAGAGTGCCCAGAGCCTGCTCCGAGCCTCCCGCAGTCGTTCCTGTTACAAACATTCATGGCCATAAGATCTGCAGGTAAAAGGTAGAGACCGGGGGCAAAGGAGTTTCCTTAAGTCTTTGATCCCGATTAAAGGCAGAGCTGCAGTGTGTAATCACCGATCAGGAGCTTAACAGCCTCACACAGGCACGTTCTGCAGGCTTTAGCAGAATGAAAAGACGTCCTGGCTGCTTCCTCATTCCCTCCTGGCTGGTGAGGAGGGGAGAAAACCCCTCAAAAACCTCCTAACCAGCGGCAAAGGGGACTCTTTGGAAAAGAGGGAGAGGACCCAGCCCACTTAGAGGGAGGTCTGGGGCAGTCCTGGCTTAATTGAGGGTGGAAATCATCCCAGAAAGTACCCAAGTGTTTCACTTCTCCATCTCCTCACTGCATCACCAAAACCCTGCACAGTCACAGCTGGGGAACAGCAGAGCTGTGTCAGACCCCAGGTGCCCCCAGCCCAAAAAGGCTGCACCAGGATTTGGGACAGGAGTGGTTTCTTCTCCTGCACCCCATGGCCACACTCAGCTTCATGGCCTCTTTGCAGTTCACCACAGAGGAAACACTGGGCTTGATTCCTGGTCCTAACAGTACCATTCACATGTTGTACCTTGTGTTACCAGAGCGATGGGACACATGTGAAGCCCCTGATCACTGGCTGAGCTGCACCACATCTCATTCCCTTTGACTTTGCCTTGAACGCCTCGGTGCAAAAATAGACCTTGATTTCAAATCAGCGCTAGCAAGCAATGCTCATAACTCCTCCTACAAACAGAAAACACCAGCTACAGGCTGGGAACAGGCCCCAGTTGAAGCCACACAGCCCCAGCTGCCCTGCACTCCACCTTGTGTACCCTCTGAATTGGTTACCAGAGCGATGGGACACACGTGAAGCCCCTGATCCACTGGCTGAGCTGCACCACATCTCATTCCCTTTGACTTTGCCTTGAACGCCTCGGTGCAAAAATAGACCTTGATTTCAAATCAGCGCTAGCAAGCAATGCTCATAACTCCTCCTACAAACAGAAAACACCAGCTACAGGCTGGGAACAGGCCCCAGTTCAAGCCACACAGCCCCAGCTGCCCTGCACTCCCAGTTGTGCATTGGCAGAAGGCACAACCGGGTGACGGAGCCAAAGGCTCCTGCAGAGCTGACACCTGGGTCCACAAAGGTTTTCTGAGCAAGGGTTTGAGTATCAATGGCATCAATCACTGAGTGGGGGAAAAAAATTGAGTAAGTCCATGCATGGGGCAGTTTCTGCCTCTGCTCAGTTTTGGTGGTGTGTTTACAGAGGACTCGCTGCTGTTCTGGGCTGCACTGCAAAGAGCAGAGGCCACCTCATTAGACAGATTAATAAACATCGCTGCCAACGGCTCCTCCCTGCTGGATCACAGCACACCGCTGGCTTTTGTCTGCATCCACCCAGCAGCCTCGGAGAGAGCTGCAGGCGCCTGCCTGAGCTAAACCTCACAGCTCACCTCTCTGCAAGCAGCACTCGCTTCCAAAATCAGGGAAACTGAGGCACGGAGCTGCAGGGAGGGAGGCAGGAGAAACGAGGAGCGAGGCTGTGCTACACCCACTGCTCCAGAGCATCCATCTCTGGGGGCAAGGTCAGAGCAGGAGATGGAAACGCCAACAGCAGGAAACCACTGGGGTGATGCTCACGATGATCAGTGTGGGATGGCCCCAGCAAGGGGGCACGGGTGGTCCCCTGGGGCCAGCACGGCCACACCAACCCCTGCCCTCCCCACGCCAGCCTGGGTGACATCTGGGAGCAAGGTGAGGCTTCGATGCGCTGCTGCTGGATCCGCTGCTGCTGCACACGTTATGGGGAGAGTAAATAAAGCAAATTAGCAGCTCTTACGCAGCTCATGGGTTGCCTTGAGTTTTGCATCATGGCTGACCTTGAAAGTGTGAATACAGGCAAAGACTTCACAGCTCCGCAGCTGCAAAAATGCCTTGAAAGCTGGTGTCTGTTTACCACCGCCAAGGCTGAAGTAATCAGAGAGTGAAAGGATTAGAAGCAACAACAAAACCCCCTCATGCCCTGAATGTTTTTGCCACTTTATCTTTTCGTTGCTTTGTTTTGCATAAGGTCAACCTTTCAAAGGTTAATACAAGCTGGGTAAATATAAATAGGCTTCACGGTTTATCTTGCTGCATGTACCGCCGTTACTTGGAAACCGTTTGCAGCGAGGTTAATTCGGGCCACGCGTCTCCCAAGCTCATGCTGTGCTCCCTGGGCAAATCAAAGCGGCGAGCGCAGCCGCTGCGGCACCGCCGGGGAGGTGAGGGCTGTCTGCTGGGAGCCCTGCACCGAAATAACCCGCAGCGCATCGGAAAGGCTGCTCTTGCCATCCTTCACCATCGCCCTCCTGCGCAGCCCGAATCCTCGCACCAGAAAAGCACCAGGGATGGAGACCTGAACCTCCACGGGGTGAAGAAGTCGGGTGGTTCGCAGGCAGAAAGAGCGGAGGCTCCTTAGATAAAGCAACAGTGACTCTTGTGGACAGATCCGAGTATTGCTGGGCTGGCACAGCGCACATTGCACACAGCACCGGGCTGGGAGGACACTGCCCCGTCCTCAGCCGTGCCCCATGCAGCTCCCAAGGGCTGGAGCAGGCTGGGATGGACCCAGCGAGACACGGAGCTGCTGGGGGCTGCCAGCTGGCACATCCCCATCCCTGCGGTCCACAACTCATCTAATCCCTGCGCCTCTGACTCCACAGCTCCCTGGTGTGCCCATGTCAAAGCCCATTTTTGGTGGGCCCTTGGTTCCACGCAGCACCAGCTGCAATGAACTGGCACACGATTCCCACTCACCTACCCCAGAGCAGCCCCGGTTTTGCACATTTCTAACGCTTCCCTCCTAAGGCAGCTCCTTTTCCGAGGTGAGGACACCACACTGTTACCTTCCCCACGCCAAAAGCTATCCCAGTCCTTCTGCCACCAGACGAGCATACCCTGAGCCTTCTCTGCACCCTCTGAGTTACACCAAACTCAAAGCTCCACGGTTGAGTGTCGCCAAAGCAGGAGTCAAATATTCTCTACCATTTTGGGTGTGATTCTGCAGGAGCTTTTCATCCTTTTCATCCTCACCCCACTGACCTCACTGGTGAGCCCCACACCAGAGTGTGGTTCCCAGCACCAAACCACCAAGCGAAATACATCTGCTCGGAGCAAAGCAAAGGGAGCCCCGTGGGAGCAGCCACTTCCACCTTAACCGGCTTGGCACGAGGTTGGTTTCGGGTTTTTTGGCTTTCACAACGGAGCCACAGTCAAGGAGAGAAGCTGTAACACTGATTTTTGAGTTACTTGGCTGGGGCACACAGGAATGACTTGGCTACGATCCTTCTGGAGGCTGTGATTTCAAAAAGGACGTGTGTGCACGCATGCATGGGTGCTGGGGTGCACGCAGGCGTGGACACGGCCGAAGCGCTGGGATAAGGTTCCCGAGGACACAAAGAGGCGATGCAGCGCGGCACACCTGGCCCGGTACGGGGCGAGATGAAAGGCGCTTTGCTGTTTGATCAAAACTAATCAGGGGTATTTAATTACACAGGAACGTCTTTCATCAAACGGCAAACAAAGCAGGGATGAAGCCTGCGAAGAGCAGCTGGCAAAGCCACTGCAGGGCGAGATGGAGCACACAGGAGAGGGTCGGGAATGGAGGAGCCTCAGGGCGGCTCCAGCCAAACCCAGTGGTGTTGGAGATCTGCAAATCACGGCACCAAGGAGCCCAGCAAGAACGCTCCAAGGGGAAAGAAGAGGCAACGGAGAGCAGCCCAGCTGTGTGTCTCCTGGTACGCTGGATCCTGCGCATTGCCCATGCCAAGGTCCCAGGGCAGGCATCAAATCCCTGCCCCTGTCCAGAGGGGAGCACTGGGTCATTGCCCTCAGCCGTTGCCTTGCTCTGAACTGGCCCATAATACGCTCTAACCTTTGAACCCCGAGGCAGGACACGTTCCTGGAAAGCCAGCTGCTGGGAGCAGATTCACTATATATTCTGGATATGCAATATTCAGAAACGCTTTCTGGGGATGCAAAGCACAGCGGCTCTTTAGTGAATTGACCCCAGAGTCAGCTTCTCAAATTGGGCCCTACAGGTCCAAAACGCAGTCAGCTTTGAAGGTCCAGAGTCACCACTGTAATCCATGGATCTGTGCTGTTAATGCATCTGATGGCTCAAAAGTTGGGGCCAGCGAGATGCTTGTGCTCCAATCCCTTTGCAAACACAGGCACCCCGTTATCAGAGCCTGCCCAGGTCCCTGCAGTGCCACCTCCTCGTGAAGATGCTCCCACTGCGGTGCTCAAGTGATGCCCTTGGTTATATCCACACAAAACACCCAAAAGCAAGCCCTGGCTTGGCACTGGCAACGAGGAGGCAGCAGGAGGCTGCGATGTGTCCCCATCACCGACTGATTCATTGCAAGGCAACGCTTCTGCCCCACTGCACGCCAAGGGAGAATAAAAGAGATGAGAAACCTTGAATGGGATGAACGGGGAGCCGCTAGGTGAATTTCTAATGAGGAAAATGTCGACAGGCGCTAATAAAAAGACCTGAAAGAGAATGCATTAGTAATGACAGGGTTGGGAAGAGCATTTGCGTTACATGTCAGGCTTCCACTATGAATTTAGAGGCAATCCTGTGCTACTAAAACCCCTAAACAGCCAGTAATGAAAAGATGACTTACATCTTCCAGTGACAAGTGATTTGGAAAGCTGCAGTTAGTGGATTTTCAGAAGAAAGCTGTTCTGCTCTTTGGGGAGAAAGCGGTGGGGGGAGTGCATTTGTAAATGAAAAAGGTATTTAGAAGCCCCGAAATCTCTCTGGAAATCTTGACTTTGGGTTTTCATTCTGAAGAGGTAAAGCTCCCCCCCAAAAAAAGCTATCAGCAGCAGAAAGGTGTGCAAGTGTTAGGAGTCCGAACACAAGAAAACCAGAACCACAGCAAGGTTTTGGCCTGGCTCTCTGACACCTCTCAAGGGGACAGAGCCGGGATTCACCCCGATATTTCCGCATTTCGCCACAAAATCAAGGAGCAGCTCTCGAAGGGCAGGGTTAAAGCAAACCCTGCGAGCAGCACCTCGCACGCACTCACCCTGGGCTCTCCGGTTTTCCTCCTGTCTGCTTTGTCAAGGCTCAGAAGCTGAAGTTTGGCTTTCAAACGCAAATCCCCCACGCTGTGATTACAAGAAGGGGGCAGGAGAGCCCCACAGGGCTGCTCCTCATGGCTGACTGAGCAGGAATCCCCTGCGCAGAGAGGAAGGCCCCATCGGAGAATATTTCTCCGTGTAGACAGCAGGTAATCGATCCTGCTCATGCGAACAACACCTTGTCATTTTTCAAGCCCTTCAAGGGAAGCAGGTGAATATCTTTGGTGCTGGGAGCCTGCAGGGTTCACACAACCGCTACCACGGGATAGGGAGAGCAGCTCTCGCCTCATCCACCCGGCTGCCAAAACAAGGAGATGAGAGACCCAGACCACAGGTGAGCGACCCTGCATTTGTTGCTGTATTTCAGCAAAATCTAAAAACTAAAACCACCAAAACCCAAACCGAAACCAAGCTAACGTGGCTTTGCAACCTTCTCAACCGATGCAGAACCATTCAAGCAGCCTCTGGTTGCGTTCGGGGCTGCAACGCGTCCCGAAGGAGCCTCCCAGCCCATTGCAAAGCCAAACAATTCACACCTTGAAAGGCAGCAAGGGCCAAACTCATCCCTAATAAAATGAGGGCGTTAAATGCCGTCTTGCTCTCATCCTCCTTGATGAAAGCAGCAGAGCCCTTCCCTCCGAGGCCGCAGGTATTTCACACAGAAAGGCTGCGGTCCCAAAGGCAGGTCAACACGAACCGCTCCGTGCTGCGGATCAGGCGGCAGATGCGGCATTCAAAATTAACCACGTCTCGCAGGTGAACCGAAGGGACCCGCGAGGACTTAAAAGCTTCTGAAGCTGCAAACGCTGGGATGAACTGGGGCGTGAAATTAATTCTAACTGTACTGCAGAGGAGACAGGCCATAAAACTCCCCGAAAAGAAGAGAGCGGTATAACGTTGGAGCAAGAGCTGCAATTCTCCCGGTGACTCCCCAGTCAGCTCTATTAGCACCAGTGACTCATCCCGGCTGAAAAGCAAAGCAAACAAGCAGGAAGGATTAAACCAGCGTTGCAAGGCTGGAGAGAAATCGAGGAATCCTGGCGCTGCGATATTCAAATGGCTTCCCACCGACGCCTGCAAACGTTCGACTGAGGAGAACATAAAGATCCACCCTGGGAAATGTTTGAAAGGAAGAAAAGAGGCATTTGTGAGTAGAAAAAAAGGCATCTGTGAGTAGGAACAGCCTGGCCATCCTCCTGTGCCCAGGTTTAACCAGCTTCACGTGGGAGCAGTTGCTATTTAGGGCACCGGAGCCAGCACGCAGCAAGGTTTGTGAGCAGGATCACAACCCAGATGCGCCAAAAGGCTTTTTCACCGCAGTTAAATCCGCAGATTGAGGGTGTTCAGGAGCATCTGCGGCCGACTACACCTCGGCAAAGCACGGCCGGGGTGTCCTGGCAATGCTCCTGGTGCCTCTGGCCGAGGGCTCCCAGCACCCTGAGCACCCATTGCATCTCCGACCAAAACTGCCACCTCCCAGCTACGGAGCAGGAGCTGCACTTCTGGAGCAGCAAGAAACACATGAAGAACATGGAAAGAATACAAAAGACCTCAGAAGGTGTGGGTAGGGTCTGGCCATCCAGCATGATTTGGTCAAAATGGTTTTTAATACCCTTTCCTCTTGGTCAAAGGACCCTGAATCATAAAGGAAACACTGAAATCTGGATGTTGTACCTGTCTCCCAAGCACCCAAAAGTCCTTTCAGGGACACCAGAGATGGGAGAACAGCACGCAGCGACTTCGCAGCTCCATCAACAAGTAGCAAAGCGCAGTTCAGACCCCAGGACCTCCAAGATGGCCCCCGCAGTCAAAAGCAGCCAACATCTGGAGCCCAGATCGCTCAAGGGCCTTTTGCTGACCTAGATCCGCCAATGTGCTCGGCTGGCATCAATAAGCAGCTGAAGGCAGCTAATTGTGAGCCTTCTGGAAGGAGGAGACGGAGGCTTTTCATTAAAACGTGTGGTTTCCTTCCCGTATTTTTGCAGCATTAATCACAGCGAACGTTAACCCCGAGCCTGCCTGCGCCAGCCTCTCCTTGGTCTGTCACCACCACAGCCGCACGGGAGGGATGCCCGGGGTTGGGATAACCCTGTGGATGCCTGCGAAGGAAGGGATGGGGAGCTGCTCTGATGGGGTTTCACATCCCATCCCCGGTTTGCTTCACTCCTGACCTGCGCAGTCAGTCCCCTCTCCTTTGCTCCCATCTTTCAGGCAGCAACCGAGGACAGGAAATGGTTTAAATCACAGGAAAAAGTGATCACAAATATTGGCAGGGGAATGGAGAGCGGGTGAAGGAGCTGAATCTGCTTTTAACTCATTCATTGCCAAGACAAAACTAGCGATGAGCTTGAAATGGTCACCTTAGCGCCCGCCTTGTGATGGCCCCCCAAGAGAAGAGGGGGTTCAGGGGAGCCTGAGAGACAGTGACAGCCACAGGCCAGTGCCACAACACAGAGAGCACATTCACTCAATGCTGCACGAGGTGGCTGAGCAGCCACCAACCCCTCCAACGCAGGGGGGGAGCACAGACCCTCTGCCAGGCACCATCGCTCTTCCCAAGAGCGCAGTTGTCACCTGGAGCACTTCATTGGTGAACGACAGGGGAAAAGCATCGCCAAAAAGCTACGGGGGTTTCTCAGCTGCAGAAGAAGTCCCCATAACCCACTGCTTCATCCCTCCTGGTCCCCAGGAGATGATGCTCCCCTGCCCTGGAGATGCGTAGCACAGCAGCACCTTGGGTTTATTCACAGCACCCAGGCCACAACCCTGGTGTTTTGGGGTGGGTGTTTGGGGACCTGCTGAGGCCTGCAGGAACTGAAGGGCTCAGGGTGACACTGGGGTTTGCAGGTTTTACATTGCCTGGATGACACAGGAAGCCTGGGGTGGAGCAGGAACCGAGTGGGGTCACGTCACCAAACCCTGCTCCTCCCCACAGCCCTCGGGGACACACAGACACCACCTAAACACCACCTAAACACCACCGCGCTCCCCTGCAGCACAGCTCCATTAACCCTTTCCTTAAAGAAATTAACAATTTCAATTAACACACCGCTGAAAAGCAAAACATTATTAACTTCTGCTAATAGATTATTCAAGATGATTATCGCCAGCTGACCGAGGCCGCGCCGAACTAGAGACGCTGCAGGCTGCTCAGAGCAATCACCGCTTCATTCAAGGCAGATAAAAGTTTCAGATCTGGCTTGACTATTGAAATTTCCAGCTACAATCACCATTATCGCCGTTCTCATTGCCTGTTAACATTTCTCCTCTGCTCAGGAAGTCGCTGTGGTTATTAAATGCAGGTTGATGATTAAATCATGTATTGAGGTGCTAAGTCGAGTTAGACGATTGCTAAGTCTTGGTCTGTATCGTTGAAATAACCCGTTGTTGTTAGACATTAGAAAGGGGCTTCATGAAAATCCAATTGTAATTGCAACTTCTCACTTTACCTCGTCTTTCCCACATGCAGACACACACACACACACACACACACACACACACACACACACACGTCAGCAGCCCATTTTGCACTCCAGCCTGCGTGAAACACAGCAGAAAACACCCAAGGTGAATGCTCTTTGGGAGAACACCAAGAAAGCGGCCAGGATGTGCATCCACACCCCCGAGAAAAACCCAAAAGCACCTTCAGCATCTGCCTGAATCCACAGCTCCCAAGTGCTGGGGCTCCTGGAGCTGCTCCTGGAGCTGGTTGATGCTCCAGGCACCCGGAGCAGCCAAACGCCGGCTCTAAAAGGATGCTCGTGATCCCTCAGCAGCATTAACCGGGGTCTGGGAGCTCGCCTGCATCCCTCCCGCTCCAGCCTAATGCCCGACCTGACATTTAAAGCAGCCTTTATTGCCATATACTTACATTTTAATGTTTTCATGGTACTGCCTGGTGTCTGAAGGCTGGTTGTATAACGGCTGAAATAAAGAAGAAAAATGAAGGCATCAATGGCAGGCTCTGGCATTTAGAAACTTAAACCCGTCAGAAGCTGCTGCTGCTGCCTCGGCGCAGGCTCCATCTCCCTGAGCCGTTCCCATCCCCGCGCCCCCCAGCCCCGCTC